CAGGGGACAGACTCCCAACGACTAGCCAGATCGCTAGGGCGAATTCAGCAGCTGTCTGGAGGAGAATTCTAGCGGACGACGTGGTTTCTTCGATCAAAACTAGTTAAATGCCGGAGAAATACCCTAAAAACGGGTCACGATCCACGCGCGATCTTTCCTTCCTCTTCCTTGTCCCATCCTCACACACACACACACACACTTACATGCACCACACTATCACACATGCCGAGAGACCGGTCGGGAGCTTAGAGCTTGTCCCGGCTGGGGCAGGGCCCCGCTGGTGGGAGATACTTGGTTGGGGGAAAACCTCGGTAGGTCGGCGCCGGATCTCGCCATCCCGGGGGAGAAGATCACAGCCACCTCCAAGGGCGAACACATGCACTGAACTTAGGGGAATGTCTCTCGCAGTTGTCGATCCCGGAATCATTAACAACCTCTCAATCATTTATCAATCCATCACAATTTGCTATGGGCAAAGCCAGTTTTCAATTCCGTTTTCTCTCCCTACGTCTCATTCCACCGTTTAGTATCCAGAGGTGGCTGGTGCCCCCCAAAGACTGGCATGCAGCTCCATCGAATGACGGAAATGTAATTTACACAAATACGTTATCTAATTCTCGGATATACTGGCAGTACCTACTACTGCTATCTTTTTACGTGTGTTTCAGAAGCTTTATGTGTCTTCGATCATTCTATGTGCTTTAAATGTAATGAAAAGAAGAGATTCGTAATGATTTAAAGCTAGTCTTCGGCGTTGTATCGGTTCTTCCGAATAATATACCAGAGAAGTAAAACAGATCTGCCTTCGAATCCCATGCACATTACCGCCTGCATTACTATAAAAAAACACTTGAAATTTCGATTTAAGTTTTTTGTTTGTATTTTACATTTTGAAATACGCCTTCCACGTCTCTTCATTTCGGTTTTCTTCAATAGAACATAAATGTTACTAAATATTACACTGAATTTGTTGATGGATACCGGGAAATAAATATTAAAAACGCCGTATTTTCACTAAAGTAAGCATAATATTCATACAACAAAAGCCTACACCAAAACGAAAGATATTCTTACTTCGTTGAGAAAGAAGTTTGGACCTGATTTAGAGGCAGCAGGAGCTATGACGCCATCCAAAATAACAACAATAAAAAAATTCTCACGAAAAATTATTGTGGTTCGAATTCTCACACCCCCTTGTTATATTTGCGACGACGCAAAATCACTTCGGGGATAGATACTGTGAGAACTGCATGCGATCACTCCCAGAGATCCAACAGAAAAATTTCTTCAAAATGGTCCAACTTTTTCTCATAAAAACTTAATTCTTCAATTACACGTTTTGAATCAGTAAAGTTTATATCACACAAAATAAATTAACCAACCATTCTAAATGGTGAATTCAATATCAAAAAAGGGACTGAAATTCTACGAGTATATCTCCAATAAACGCGGCCTGCAGTGATATTCAGATGAAGGTAGAAAACTGGCCCCATTATCCGAGGCCGCTGAGCCCCAGTGCTCTGTGGCAGAAGCCTCTGGCGCTTTCTGTTGCGGTACCAAAACGCACGAGTGGCCGAGTGCTCACAATCACAATAATGAAGCAAAGGAATGGGCAGCCGGTTGGATCAAAAAGACTATTCAGAAAATGACGGCAGGGACGGTTGATTGTGTTGTAGTTTAAACACTTTTTGGGAAATGTTAATTTTTTAATTGAATTTCTCTATAGTTTGAATTAAGTACCTATAATATTACAATCAGACTGATGTTGGGTATAAATTTGTCTTCGAAACGCCGTGATTTTGCTAACTTTATAAAATATTGTTAACTGTCATATGTGTAATATGTGATTCCTGAATCTGATTGTCAAAAAATGGCCAAAGGATTTTTAATTTTAATATACAGTAGAGCCTGGATTATCTGGGATAATGGGGAGGGGATACAGGGATAAATGAGAACCACAATTAATGGGGAAACATTTATTTAACGAATTACACAGTATTGTGTGTGTATAATGTCATGTTACTGCTAGAGCTCACAAGTTCAGGTATTTATTTTACCTAAACTAGGCATGCAAAATGGCAATTATTCTGACTAAAGTAGGGGTGTAAAATTAGAAGAAACATTTAGTAATTATAGTAAGAAATTAATAATTAAAACATGCCGCAGTTTTAATTTAACTTTAAAATAAACACTTCTATTTGTAATCTTGATTGTTCATGACCATCTAGTATAACTATAGATTTATTTTACTCATGTTGCTGGTTTAAGGAAATTCTATTGTGGACTTCCTTGCGAATCTTGAAATGGTATCAATGGAAATGGAGTTGTAGATTTTGTTCTTTGCACTTGTCATTGCCAGAAGAAAAGAGAGAACAAGAGGGAGAACAAGACTGAGAAGGGTATATTATATTGTACAGAGAGCTCTATCCTTCCTCAAAAGGGATTAGAGAACGTTTCCAACTCACAGTGAGAATCCTGGTGGGCAAACAAGTCTGTCAGCATCAATGAAAAATATCAAAAGTCCTCACTGTTGTCATCATCCTTTCCCATTTAGATTTTAATGCAACCTGACATTGGAGCCTCCACATCCACAGGAAGACAATAAATGATCGTGCCTTCATGTTCTTCAGGTGTGCAGGTAAGTTTCCAGCATGATAGAGGTTGGTGTCAGGAAGGTAAAATAATAACGAAAGAGGCACAAATAAGGCAAAATAACAAAAATAGGCACCAGATGCTAAAATAGGCAAAATGAAAATCTACTAAAACAACTCCTAAAATTAAGTGTTATTAAAAGTTATAAAATCCTAACAATAATAATAAAAAGGCATTTTTACAAATTTCTGGGCTTTAGTTGTAACATTATCAGGACTTGAAATTTGAAGTAATCACTATCACTCTAATCACATCATGGCAGTCAACATTTTCCTGTGGGACAAGTTCAGGATGATATCATCTACTGATTTTTTCCTTTTCTAGCACCAAAACTGTCATCATTGCCACTCTCATTAACTACTGAATTATCCTCTTGTCAAATAGAGAGAGTAAACTTTTGCTGCTTTAATGAGCTGTCACTTATATGTTCAAATTCCTCTCCATCAACATTTTTGTATAGCCAATCAACCGTCTTTATCAACATTAGAGAAATCTAATTGATGTAGCCAGCTCAAGACAAACTTCTATGTCTCCTGTTCTATATTTTCTTTGTTCTCTTAGCCTTGATCTCAGATTTTCACTTAGAAAAAAGGTAATTTCTATTCCATTTAAAGGATACTTGAAAATTCAAGGAATTATTCCCCCCACCCTGATACTTTTTTTGGAAAAGTGAGCACAGTAAATTGAGACCTAAACAGTTAATTGAGATTTTACTGTAATTAAATAAAAACATTTAATAAAGAATAATCCCACCTCTCCGCACACACTTGGTCAAATACATTCGCTAAAAGTTCTTAAATAACTAGGATGAGCAGTGGTGCTAGAAGGGGTGATGCTCAGATGGGACAATTTGCCTGACTTAATTGGGGCCCCAAAATGTTTTTTCATTCCAAATATATGAAAAATATATTTACTTCTAATTCAAACGATGGATCTTGATGTTATGATCTCCTGTGTGCGTCTTCTTCCCAAGACCCCTTGTTTTGTCTGATCACTCTTGAATTCCAGTGCAAATTGCGACAATGTTGAGTTGCGACTTAATTATAGTATTCTTACACCATGCCCATGGATGTTACCTCCTTAGTTATAACACAAACATCTTTTGTTTTCCTTCATTAATCAAAAATGCTTGTATTATGAAGATGTTTCAGAACTGGTGAGATGTAAGGATTCCCGCATTACACCTGCATTTCATATCTAACAAAGAGAACCAACAACATTATGCTTGCTAGAACTATTAACATAGAGAAAGGACAGGCATTAGGCTTTCTGTAAGCTACTACTCTAACCACTGCCCCAGTCTCCAAGTCTGATTCTTTTAACATTTATTGCCGGAGTATATTATTGAGTAACTGATGAAGTGGTGCCATAACTTGACACATTTTTAATCTACTGTGTGCAACCATATTAACTTCAATCAATCAAAATACTGCCTTAACTTAAGACTAAAATTCCTGGAAAATTCACGCTTTTGATGTCCCCCACATTTTACATGTCAGAGACTCTCTTGGGATTATTAAATGACCAGGAATCAAACACTGATCTTAGGGTTTACTCTCAAATGCTGTAAACACAGAGCTTCCAAGGGGTCCAATGTTTCAAAGAGTTTGTTAGGCCTGATACTGCCAGTTATGTGATACTCAAAACGATGGTAGCAATAATTGTAACTGGTAGAGACAGACAAATCTCAACTATATGCATCTTCCATTTTGTTATGAAGCCGGTTTGCAAAAACATTTTATACTTTTTTAATTGTAAGAAATTTAGTGATGATTATGAATATTATTTTTTGCAAGAATGTTTCAGAAGACTTATCAGCAACAGTAAACAATATTTTTTTAAAATTATTTAATTGTATTACTATTTTTGAATTTGATCTATTGTGCAGTTGCATGTTGCAACAAATGAATAAAATAAATTATTAAAATGAATCTCAAAAACTACTATAAATGTTTTTATCAAACTATTTCTTCCCAATAATTTGAGGCTTTTTTCCCTCTCACCTTTTTCAATACAATGAATAAAGCAATATTAGGCAAATTTAAGGACCAAAAAATAAATTAACTCAAAATAAGGTTCATGCCATATTTATTGTAAATTTTCCTTACACAAAGTTCAATGAATAAAAAAAAATCATGCATCACTTATGTCTTGTACACTCTTGTATATATCAGTCTTCAATGACACTATTGCAAGACCAATAGTAACTACTTATTGTAATGTAAACCAATTCGACAATCCCAGGGAGTATTGTCAAAGGCTATGGAAATTAAGTCAGTCTTACCAACTACTGGAATGCCATTATTTATTGAATGATTCACTATTTAACTACTATTAACTACATAACCCTTACAACTTCTAAATATTTCTAAAATAATAATGAGTAATAAGGGTATAATGATTCAAAATTTCAATCCTTAATGAAAGAGTAATCATAATGTTTTGTAAAATGACCTACAGTCTTACAACTCCTGGAATGTAATGATTTGTTGTAGTGACATGTTATTTAACTTTCAGTCTCAATTAACTAACAAACTTTTACTGAGCAAATTACAAGTGATATTAATAATAAAAAAAGCCTAATAGTTGCGCAAGTTGAAGAGAAAGCAAAGGTCGTGCTGAGAGCCTAAGGACCTTCACTGGTCCATCTTCTCAGCTACCACCTCTCCTCCAGCCTGCTTCTTGGGTTTCTCTGGTGGCTGAGATGTCACAGCTGGTGCATTGGTGCAAGTAATATGAATGACTCGCTCCTTGCTGGGAGGTTCTTCAGCCTGAAATGAAGAGAGACTTAAACCTTGTCAACAACACAGTGGAAACTTAATTTTACTAATTCTTCTATTATTGAAGAAAACGTTATCAATAACACTAATACATCATGTATATTTTACAGCCAAAGTTTATTTGAACATTTTGACCAATTTTAATGTACAATTTTGAAATATTAATATCCAAAAAGAAGAGACTAATAATTTTATTAATAATATATTACTTTATTATAAATAAAAAACAAATCTTCAAAAAGTTCTGATATGGATATTAGACATCTTATGGAAGAAAAACAAAATGTGATGTTAATAAAGAAACCTAGCAAAAAATAATGTAGAAATACATGAACAGACTGGAATAATAAGGAAAAAATTGGGCATCAACTGAAATGAACAAAAATTGAGAAGTAAATGAATTAAGTGAAGGGAATGGAAGAAGCAAGTGAGAAAAGATTGAATCATCAAGACATGAAAAAAAAATGAGAGTTCTGACTGACAAACCTTCTTGTGAGCCTCAATAGTCAGCACTCCATCAGAGGAGAGATTGGAAGTAATGGCATCCAAATCTACTTCCTCTGGCAGTTTGTAACGGCGCTGGAATTCACGTGAGATGAACCCATGTTCATCTGGGCGCTCTTCATGCTTTGCTTCTACCACAATGAATCCATCAACAACTTTCACACTTATTTCACTGGGTCTGAACTGCTGCACATCCAAATTAACCTGTGAACATTACGTTAAAAATCGTGAGCAAATAGAGTTCATTAACACCTTTTCACACAAAAGAAAGCAAATAATAAGAGTCAAAAAAATGAAGATATCAACCAAGGAGATTGCATGATAAGATTGGAAATGGTTTCAAGGGTTCCATGCAATTTGAAATATTTTGATTATTTTTTCTTTTACGAAGGGAACAATTTTCTTGAAAATGGCTCAAATCTTTTCTGTGATGGAGCAAAGTGCACTTATGAAAATTGCACAGATCCAAATTTTGTTTAACACAATTTTTTCAAATAACAATATTTCAATTTTTCAGCTCATTCCCTCAACTATAATATTGAAGATATATATTTTTAAATTACATCTCTTCTCTAAAACTAGCTATTTAAATTATATTACGTGGTATGTGCTATTGTAATACCATTAACATGCCCTTTCTATGGTGTTCTTTAGGCCAAGACGTTAGAAAGCTTCTGGGGGAGGGGGAAGAAGAAAAACTCAGAAAACGCGCGCATACAAAATTAATTGTTGGCCTACAGGTTAAATGTAGCGACGAAGAGGTTATGAAACTTTAAATACTACTAACGACGACTTTTTTTTTCAGACAATGCAATTTGTTTCAGACGGGACATTCGAAACTAGATCAGAATTGATAAGTAAAAGCAAGACATTATCTCTTACGCTACTCTGAATGAATCCTGAGGATATACACAGGAGTGTGTGGTCCAATTTCATGCATTTGGAAATTTCTGTGTGGAAATCTTTAACGAGGCTCATCATAATCATCTATTATTTCTCATTCGTGTGATGTAAACATTCCGTTTTGGGATGAACCACTCAACTTAGCTCAGCAAATAAGGCGCTGCTCGACCGCTGGCATCGCTCGGCGCCTGCATGTTCGATATACTATGTGAATATTGAGGGCGGATCCACAGACACATTTTGGGGGAGGGAATTAAACAGGTTTTGTAAAGCGTCGCGCGTTACACTCGGCTCGTGCTGCGATACGATTTTATTCCTTTTAAAGATCATCCGAAAATATTTTTGCTTGAAAGTGTCGCGACAAGTTAAAATTTGTAGTTGAAAAAAAAAATTAAGGGGCAATTTCCGTTATTTTCTTATCGGTGGATCCATGTTAAATGTCCACGTCAAGCAACCTGGCGGAGACGAAAGCAGCCAGATCTGGCGAAGGAAGGGAGGCGAAGTCGCAGCGCGTCTTGTGTGCGCAGTGTTAGATTGTGCACTTTCAAGTAGGATTTGCGTTTTTCAATTTGGTGCGTGGTTTTCAGGATGATAGCAACTGTAATCTTCATGAACCAAAGAGGGAATCAAATATTCGTGTTCTATAGAAGGAACACTGCAGGGTATGGCGGAAAGGCGAAGCAGCAAAGACAAGGAGTGGGGAAAGGAACAGGGTAGATTCGGGCAGTTCCACGATTAAGGGCAAGCTAGATCGGGGATTCCCTATGGGCATAATTCATTCCTTTTTATGTCAGTATAGATGAATATAATAAATAAATGCCCGGATTTAAACCTGCAGTTCGTTTATCATTGCAAACAAGTTTTCTCTAACTCTGGAACGAAATTGTCTAGTTTTCCAAATGTTGCTAATCTTGCACTATTTTAAACTTTATTTTTAATTGTATATCTTTCACTTTTACTCATCCATCAACTGTTTATAGTTAAAATGATGGAAGGGATTCTGGGACTCAAGAAAACGTGCGCAGATGATCTCCCCCATGCGTCACATACGGTTTTTACTGTTTTCACTGAATAAATCTAAATCTAAACCCTCTATGAGATTCAATCACATTTAGTAAGTTATGTATTAATTGTAAGAACATTTTCCACAGAGGGGGACATAGAACTCAAGGTGGGGACAATCCTCGGCCTCCCGTCTTCGTCAATTCGACTCGTTTCTACAATATTTTAATTTTATTGATTAAGAACATATTACGGTATAATATCATATGTAGCCGTAATATAAAGCTGTATAATGCTGCGGTAAAAACCGACGTTTTATCGATAGATAAGCTCGTATTTTGGGACCCTAACACCAAAAGAGGTGGATAAATCTTCATCCAAAAAATCATAATTTGGCACGAGCTTTTACTCTTCGATAATACTCTTAGCCATATTTCAATTCTTTAATTAAAGAATAGGAAACGAAAATGTGAAAATATGTTTCATGTGCCAATATATGCTGGAAAGAGGGTGCGGCAAAACCGAAAAGCTAGCTCAGAATACTGAGATAAGGAAACCAACTAGTACGAGAAAATCATGTCATTGTCTAGCTCCACTAATTTTGTATAGGTCCATTCATGGAGCAATGACTGTATTCATCGGTCCCATGGTGGAAATAATCACCATGAGGATCTAGTCAATGCATCGACATAGAATGTAACGCAGGGCTAGATTTCTGACGGAACAGCATTTCGGTACCTCGGAAATAATAATTATATTATAAATATATAAATTTCTATTAAATAATTTGGGGCGCCTTCTGGGCCCCAAAATTTAATAAATGAAGCACTGATGCAAGAATATTCTATGTTCGATCGAAGGCCTTACGTGGAAAGCGCGCTCGGCGCCCTTCTTGGCTGCGGCCAGCGCCCTCTGCGCGGCGTGCGGCGCGTGGTGCGCGTGCTGGCCGTGCGGGGCGTGCGGGTGCAGGTAGTGCGTGAGCAGCGGCGCGTGGCGCCACGGGTGCAGGTGGCCGGCGCGAACGGGCCCTGCCGAGCCGCGGCGAGAGTGCCCGACGCTGCCGCCCTCGTCGGGGTGGTGGCCCACCCCCAAATGGTCGAAAATGGAGCCCGGCCGGAACAGGGTGGGCACGGCCGGGCACGCCAGGTCCTCCATCGATTCGCCCAACAAATGCAGGAGAGACATCTGAAACGCGTGCTACTCCAGCTCAAGAAAATAAACACGCGCGCGTACGCACACGTGAGAAAAAAAAATATGAAAAAATCCTAAGCGCAATAATTAGGATAGAAAATCTAAAGCATTGCATTTGATTAAAAACACAAATTCATTATTTCATCACGTTTCATTCAAAAGGAGTTTTGGTATTTCAGAGGATATTTTCACATACGATAACAACTTAACCGCGCATAATTGTAATTTATGAAGTCTGCAAATCCAATAAAGCTTCTTAGTCTTTATAGAAAGACTTCATAGAAGCTTTCTTCCACTTACCGAATCTGATGAGGGACGGTGCGGTATTAGAAGAAGTATGTAACTCCCAACTATTTATTACTCCTGCCTGCTACTACTAGCAAGTTCTGGCACTGCAAATGAATTTCACGAGTACACCGAAGCAAAAATGTTCACGGAGCGAATTGCAGCTTGAATGCCGACGATTCAACTGAACCGGCGTTTTGCGCAATGCACGTCTGTCAACCGCTGTCGTCTACCCGAAGTTTCTTTTGGAATGCCGATTCTCAAAGAGTCGTTCATGATTAATCGAAAAATTGCGAGAACTATTGCAATTCCTTCAGATTTCAGATCAATTTAATTATTTTGCATTTAAAGGCAAAATATATGTATTGATGGAAAGAAACACTCAGAATCTTCAACATTTGTTTTATTGACATGGCTTTGTGCTTACAAATAGATTTAGTAAAGAGGAGAACCAACTTGATACAAAAGATTCGTTCACAAATATGGATCATTCGCCAGCAAGATTCCCCTGCCTCCTTGGACCATTCTCTTTGGTGCTAAATCGTGCTGTACTTCTGCTCCGAGTACATGGAGTACACAGCCAGATAGCGCTGCTATCAAAAGCGTACGGTGTTCTAGCGCGGCATCCAACTTTGGTTGGGGCCCCTCCGGATACCATCACTATTTAGGTTTTGTGTTACAAATACTGTTATTTCGTAATTGTGTTTGTGCGTCTTAATTGTAATTTGTTTACTAAGTAAATCAAGTCCACTTACTTACATGTAAGTAGTTCAAGTAAGTGTTACTAAGTAAATCAAATCTACTTCTTATCAACAAGAAGTTGTGACCCGTGTTGTGACCTGTGACTACTGGTGACTGGCTACAGGGAACTATTCCGGTAGTTTAAAGTATGATGTATTTCATTTAATTAGTTTGTATGTTTTATCAGAGTAGAGAGAGAGAGTGAAATAATCACCAAATGATATTGTAATTTATTTCAAATAATTTGAAATTACATTTTTTTAAGAGCAGTACGCCTTTCTCGTTGTTTTCCTGGGTGTAATGGGAATTACAAAACTGGGCGACGTTTTTCGAGTTTTTTCGTTTCACAACCAAGAAAAGCATTCGGAATTTAACCGGAAATGGCTTAATGCCTTTAAAAGAGACAACTTTTCTCCTAATAAAAATACAAAGGTGAGAAGTATTGAAGAAACTGTATAGGTTATGTTACAATTTATGTTAAGTTACTGCTTCGAAAAGTTATTGCCTTGAAGTTAGTTTGGTGGCACAAGGAATATAGAATAGGACCTCCAAAATGCTTTTCTTGTGGAATGTTTCAAAATAAATTACCTGTAAAAATATGCATGCAGGTTTTAGCTTTATATCCATTGTTTGTTTCCAGAAAAATGTGTATATATTAAACTGTGGCTGTTATGTTAATGTCTTTTCTTAAACTATCTAATTTACTCTCATTATTTATTTTCATTATAGGTGTGCGAGAGACATTTTTCCGAAAATAATTTTCGAATGCACTCTGAGGCATTAGACAAGAAGACTGGCACAATATTAGAAGTGCCTTTATAAGTGTCTCAACTACTTCCTCTATATCTGCTGTTCCTGTGCAGTTTCCTGATCTGCCCTATTATTTATCTGGTAAACAATTCACAGACAGTCTGGAGCAAAAGAGGATGAGGAGAGTGTGTGCTGCAATAGATCTAGCCGTTACAGACAGCTTTTAAGAACATGAGGATTATGGAAAGACCAGAAGTTTCTCCTCATTTTTGAAGAACTCAAATCCAAACATCACTTTTTTAATAACAGTGGGTAGAAGGTGCTTCAAGAAAGTGATTCAATTACTTTTTATAAAGTTGTTCTCGCACCTTATCCTAAGATAACTGCATCTCTTTCAATAGATTTGAATTTACATTTGAAAGTGTTCTTTGAAGGCTGTGAAGTGTAAGGTTAGGGGATGAAGATGTGCCTGCTACTGTGACAAATATTGGAGCCATTGATGTAATATTGACTAAATTCAATTCTTGGGAGTGTTCTGTTGGGGAAAGCAATGATACCAATTTAATAAATGTTGTTGTAGATATTTTAAAGACAGTAGAACATGAAAATGTCTCCTTTATGAATGAACAGTTAATGTTAATTTATACGAAGGTGAATGCTAGAAGATACTCACCTGATTTAATTATTTTTGCTTTTACTGTTTTTTTTAGTCTGGTTCCAAATGCATACCGCTTTGAAAGAGGGACAAGAAAAATTATTGTGCCTCACAAGCCCACAGTTCTTTCTCTCAACTTGTAATACAACCTTAGTCCACAGAATGAACAAGATGATGATTTTCTGTCTTATACTAAGAAAAATTTTGTATTCCAGAACGAGAATGACAGAATTGTTAATCTTGTTCACGAAATTTACATTAAGAAATTTTGGGACTACAAAGGTGGTGCAATATTTGAATTATCCCACAATTCAACAGAAAGTGCTGGTATGCTTATGTGTTCATGATAAGTGGTATTAAATCTAAGTTTAGGGATGTTGTGTATATTTTGCCTGTGTCTTCTATAAATGCAGAAGTGCTTCATTAACATTTGAATCATATAGTCATAGGATTAGAGGATATTGGATGCAAAGTCATTGCAGTTATTTCTAATATCATGATTAATTCTAAAGCTAAGAGCTTTTTTGCAGTTCCTCCACAAAAGCAAATAGTGTATCCTCACCCTAGTGACTCATAAAAGGCCATTTTTTTTTGTAATTGATTCAGTACATCTCTTAAAATGCATTAGAAATTGCTGGCTTAGACAAAAGAACAAAGAGCAATCTGTTCTATTCAAAATTCTCGAGGATTGAAAATGCCATTAATTCTTCAGGTGCACAGTCTGCATCTCTTGGCATGCTGAAGAAATTGCATGATCTTGAAGTCAATTCGTTAGCCAAATTTGGTTATTCAAGCACTGGCTCCAAGTACCTTGAAAAGGGAAAATGTAAAATTAGCTCTTCAGATTTTTAATAAGCACATTATTGAAGGCTCAAAGGAAATGGGTGCTAGAGAGAACTTGTTACATTATGGAGAGACTGCAAATTTTATACAGATCATTAGTACATGGTGGGAAATTGTTAATGTTCAGAGCCCATTTACTTGTACACGCTTCAACAATATTTATCAGACACCATTCACAAATGATTCTGGGGATGTAAAATATGTCTACCTGAGTAAATTCATTGCCTGGTTGGATGCTTGGGAGAAGATGCAATTCAGTAGTGGTAAATTGAGCAGAGGAACACATTCTGCGTTAAAACATTCTACTTGTGCTCTGATGGAAATAGCTTCATATTGTGTTAATGAGCCTAATTTTAAATACTTCCTTCCTGGAAAATCACAGACATGATTTGGAAAGCAGATTTGGCTTGTACAAATGACTTTCTGGTAGCCAATATCATATTTCTTTAAGACCGTTGTATGAATGTGAAGCAAAAGTGAAGCTGCAGGCACATTTAAGGTTAAACTTGATTTCAAAGAAATATGGGGACATTCGTGTTGATGAGATAACATTGGCATCAGAAACTAAAATGAATCATCATCATGGTATTTATATTGAAGTGTTTTCTAATGATTTTGAAGATGTAATGGAATGTTTGCCTGTACTGGTCTACATTGCTGGCTATTGTGCTTTTTCAGTTGTCAAGAGGCCTAAATGTGACCATTGCAAAACTACACTCCTCCTTGACAGGGAGCTTTCATTTACTGAAAACTTCAGTATATTCAGCAAAATGGATCGGGGAGCTCTTACTTATCCTACTGAAAATGTAGTTACAGTTGTTACTACAAACTATATTGTAGTAAAGAAGTTGTGCTCTGAAATGGAGAATAAATTTTTGAATTTGAAGAATCAAAGAACTGTTGCCGCCTCCTTAACAATTGATAATCTGCAAGTTTTAGTTATGACCCATGTGTGAATGGATATGAAATGGGAAAGGTTGTAAAGATGATAGTCTGGTCTTCAACTAACTGTTTTCTCAATAATTACTGTATGAAGCAGAATGATGTTGAGAGAGTGGGGGGGGGCAATGAAACGGAAATTGGAGGTGTCATTAGAATTCTCAGCATCTAATAAGAAACAGTTTTTCAATGTCAAGACGGAAGTGACCTTGGGATGTGTTTTTTAGTGGGTTGCCTCTCTTTAGCTAGAATAAATGTACTTTTTTTTATGCCAATTTAAGTAAAAGTAAATACCTTCTGCCTGTGTATTTTAAGTAAAAAGTCTTTATGTCTGAACTTCCAGACACAATAATGATTGTATAAAACTTTTGCTTTTTGTTGAAGTATCTGTACATTTTCTTTTACAATAAATTTTGTGTTAAAAATGTAGTGATACATTTATTTCATTTTCAATATCTCATGGCCCCTATATGTACTTCTTTGTTTTAATTGCATAAAATGTATGCATGGACAATAGAATGGGTTTTTTACTGTGCTTAGGTTTTAATATGCACTTTATCTTAATAGTTCATTTGAAGAAAATAATAATGTACCGTAAATATCTCATGAGAATTTAAAAAGTAATCTTATTCTCCCTAATCAATTAATTTAAATTTTCCAAGGTTTTGAATTTGAAGTACAATATGCTGAGGCTAGACGCCAGTAGTTGAATTTGAAAAGATCAACAGTATTTGGTTAATTAACTGGTTGTTTGTTTTTCAGTAGTAAAAAGAGAACTTTTGAAGAAGTTTGTTGTACATGAAAATATTTTCGCAAAAATTAGAAAGGTTTTTTAGTGTAATTGAATCATAATTTAAGATATTTTGAAACAGATAAGTTGTAACAAAAGATAATAAGTTGAATAAGAAGAGATTTCATTTGATGCATTTTAAGTTCCCTATGGATTTAATTACTAGAAATAAACCATTCTGCATCTAATAATTACCCAAGAAATTTAATGTACTTTTTAAACTTTTTTTTTTTATGGTAATAAATTTGTAGGTGCTAATTTTGTGGTTCAAAGAAGGGCAGGGCACATTTCTGTTTGGAGGAAATTTGAGAATGGAATTAATATATTTGTTAACGAAAAAGAAAAATTCATGTAATTTTATTACTTTAATTTGCAAACTTTAAACATCAGGAGAGAACTCTATAAAATAAAATAGGTAAAGGAATTTAATTTATGAGCAACAGCTAATTTAAAATCTTAACGAACTAAAGGATTTCAAGGTAGTCTTGAAACTACTTTATCTGCTATTAAATTTGTTTTTGATCATTTGTATAATGGTACCGATTATGAAGATATGGGAGTTTTTAATTGTAGAGTACAGAGGCTTTCTGTTGGAAA